TCTCCAAAGGCAACTCAAGACGTTTCACGGCACGACTGCAGTGCAATCCTCCTGTGGCAGCAAAAGGGGTATCTTCGGGCTTTTATAGCAAGGGACCCCTCTCTCTGCTTCAAGGGGTTTGGGGCTTCGGGGTTTAGTGTTTTAGGGTTGAAGAGGCTCGTGGGAATGTTATTTCAAGAAGGTGAACCTTCCCGGTGCAGAGGTTTAAAGTCTCAGGTAGCGTTGTTCGCGGTCCTACGCCGCCGAAAGACCCTGGATAGTCGTGTCAGCAATCCTAAAGCTTGCCTAAACCCGAAACCTTAAAGTTGGTATCACACGGCTGCAGACGGTGAGAGCAGCAAGATGAGCGGAGAGAGGACGCATGACATGCGGTCTTCGAATTACCCCCGACCTCGGAGGGCCGCAGGCTTGACTGCGATAGACCAAAGCTCTAGAGCCGGCTACGGGTTGAACCCTGAACCCCAAACCTTCTCCCCCAAATCCGACAACGGGACCCTAAACCCTAAACCCTAAACCCTGAACTCTAAACCCTGAACTCTAAACCCTAAACCCTAAACCCTAAACCGTGGTCCCCTCCTTTGCCTTTCAGCGTCGAGCTCGGCGAAGGCCGCTTTGCCACAGAGGTCGCCAGAGCCCCAAGCCCTACCCAGAGACTCGAATATCCCTTAATTAAAGCATATACCTTAAATCATACTAGGGATCCTACCATAATTTAAGGTATATTCCTTAATTAAGGGATATTGGAGTCTCTGGGTACCTTGACCCCAAAACACCCTACTTGGAGGTTCATGGGTAGTTATAAGTGGGGTTATAGGCCCCCTCATATGAGTTATAAGTAAAGTTACCCTACTTATAACCCCACTTATAACTACCCATGAACCTCCAAGTACGTTCACGTTTATGCAAGGAATTTGAAGAGATTATTTGGGGTTTGGAACTGGCAACCCAACGCTGTTGCATCTTGGAAGTCTAAACCCCGAAGCCCCTAGCCCCGATCCTCCATCGAGCCATGGGCCTTCCCCCGTAAATGCGGCATTTCTGCTTCCCTGCTCCCTGAGATGGAGGACAGCTTTGAATATGATCGTTTCGGCCCTTTCTGTTCCGGGCTTCCTAGGGCTTGGGATTTACCCCCGTGTCCACATATGAAGGCCCTGAAAGGAATTCAACTCGTAAGGCTTGCATACCCCAAAAACCGGTCAGCATCAAATTGTAAAGCTCTGAAGTTGCGGGCTGGGCTTACAGCCGTTTGCACAAAATAAACCGTTGAACCTTAAAACTCCTGAGGCCCTAAACCCCTGAACCCTCACCTAAACTTTACCTAAACCCTTGAGCCCAAACCCAAAACCTATCAACTGGACGACCCTCACCCTAAATCCTAAACCCCAAACCCCAAACCCTAAACCCCTAAACCCTAAACCCGAAACCGTGGCGCCGAGAAGGAGGAGGCCCGAGCCGCGTTCGAGCAGCGGCGACTTGACCGGCTTTGGGTTTCGGGTTTCAGATTCAGGGTTTGGGGTTTACGGTTTCAGGTTTAGGGTTTGGGGTTGAGGGTTTCCTTCTCAGGGTTTGGGGTTTAGAGGGTGAGAGCGTTTAGGGTTTCAGGTCGGGGTTTGGTTTCGGCTTTGTCTTGAGGGTCCCGTTGTTTGGGGTTTGCTAAAGCAGCCAGGGCTGCTTTGGATTTGGGGGTTGCGGCTTTCGATTTTCAGGCGGTAGGCTTCCAGGTGTGTGATTCTATGCATTAGAGCTTCGCGCTGCCCGAAGTAGCTGGGTTGAACGTCATCATGATTTCGTGTCAGTTTCTAAGTTTACAGTACAGTTGCAGATCACTGGTTCGGTTACTGCAAAACACCTTTGTTTGGGGCTTAGGAATTCAGGGTGTGCGACTTGGGCTTCCGAGCCCGAGTATTTGGTTTAGGGTTCCGGGTTTAGGGGTTCAGGGTATCAGGGGTTTCGGGGTGCAGGGTTGCGGGGTTCAGGGTTTAAGGGGAACACGCTGCAAAGCCCGAAGTCGAAGCCTCCCCAGCCAACCACAACTCATAGGAGGCCACAAGGAGTTTCAGCCTATGGGGCTTTAGTAGGGCTTAGGGTTCCCATAATAGGGTTCATATTCAGGAATCCCTACCCCAAGAATCTTAAACCAGCCTTTTGGCCTCCCATCAGCTTGGTCGGCTCTGCGTGTTGTGTGGGTTTTAGTGTTTGGCAGTTGAGATTTCGGGTTTAGGGGATCCCAACTGCTGGGAAACTCAACAAAACCTGAACCCACGAGCTTAACGCTCATGAGCCCAGCTTCCTTAAGCGATAAACCTTGATCCCAGAACCCCTAAACCTTAAAGCCCTAGCTCCGGAACCCAGCATGTCGAGGATTGTGGAAGAACTGACCTGGGCACGGACGAGGAAAGGGGAGTGGGCCGGGATTTGGGCGGTTTGCGGGTTCCTTCTTTTTGGACGGTGGGATCCGCGGCTGCTCTGGAGAATTCAGTACTTTAGGAAGCATACCGGGTTTTTTGGGCTTCTGAAGGCCCAGGGAGGTGAGGTGCCGGCCACAGGCCCTGAATCGCAGCATCGCAGCCCACCCAGGCGAGGCCGGAACCCTGAAGCCAGAAGCCCTCAATCAGCAACATCAGGAGCTGACCGGACTGCATCCCTAAGCCCTAAAGCTTAAACGCTAAGCTAAGCTCTACGCCGCAGAAGCCCCAAGTTTTTCGGCTGGAGGCCAGTCGAGCTCATCGATGCCTTGCGAGAGCGGCTGAAGCACTACAAGGGCAAGGAGAGCAAGGGCTTTACAGGGCCTTTGCAATGCGTTTTGGGATTGTAGGGTCTCTACTTGGAGGTTCATGGGTAGTTATAAGCAGGGTTATAAGTAGGGTAGCTATACTTCTAATTCATATTCGGGGACTTATAACCCTACTTATAACCACCCATGAACCTCCAAGTAATTCGGGCAGGGGGCTCCGGGTTTGGATGGCTTTAGGCTTTGGGGATCCCTGAAAGACGACTTGCCAACCGAAAGCCTGGTCGAGCCTACCTCCTCTTCTTTAGATTCCTGTCGTGGTACTATATACCCAAACCTACCCTGAACCCGAAGCCCTAAACCCTAAATCCAAGTTGGACTTTGGGGGCGGCCTCGGTTCGGCGGCTGCAGGATTGCTATCCACCAGAGCGTGCAGGTCAGTGCGTGGTGACCAAGGCAGGAGGTGGTTTTAAGGCTTTTATTGGGGGTCTGCAAGAGCTTGTAAACAAGGGTTTTCTAACGATTCTTTAAGGGTTCCATCAAGAAGGGTCTGACGCAATAAGGCGCAAGGTGTGCTCAGATTGTGGATCCCCACAGCTTCAGGGGCTCTGTCTGTAGGGACCAGACGGTTCTGCTTGGGAAACCCTAAACCCTAAACCCTAAACGGTTCTGCTTGAGTCTTGGGGTCATTTGGGATTCGTGGCCTTGACATGTTCGGTCGTCAGGGGCCCCGAGGCTAGGGCATCATAACCCGTCAGCGTCTGCAGCAACGAAACAGGCCAACAGAAGCAGGTTCAGGGTGTAGAGTTGGGCAGAGGAAGCTAACGTAGGAACCTGATTAAGAAACCTGGGGCTCTTGACAGGGTTCCTGAAAGTTTTTTCAATCCCTGCTATTTTGGAGTTATAGGCCCAGGGTTTCTTAATCAGGTTCCTACATTAAACTCCAAACTGTGTTGCTCTCGCGAGTTGGCTTCGTGATGCTTCTAGCAAGCAGCCTTTGCTGGAATTGAATGCTCAATCCTTTCTCTTACCTTTGGTTAGTAGGGACTGGAGGAATGGGGTAAAATTCTAATCTAACTACTATTATTACCATTCTTCCACTCCCTAACCAAAGGTAAGTTCTGAATTTGCAAACTCGAGCCAGCCCATTCTCCTCGTAGTTTCTCAAAACCCTCAGCCCTAAACCCTAAACCCTATGAGCCCTAAAGCTTGAACCCTAAACCCTAAACCCTAGACCCCAATAGCCCTAAACCCTAAAAGCCCTAAACCCTGAAAGCCCTAAACTCTAAACCCTGAAAACCCTAAACCCTAAACCTTAAACCGTAAACCTTAAAACGTTGCATTCCGGGAGTTGGGCCCCGACTCCGGTGCCCTGAAAAGCGCTCGGATGGATTATTATAGGATTTAGGGTTTAGGGTTTAGGATTTAGGGTTTAGGATTTAGGGTTTAGGGTTTAGGATTTAGGGTTTAGGGTTTAGGATTTAGGGTTTAGGGTTTAGGATTTAGGGTTTAGGGTTTAGTGTGTAGGGTTTAGGGTATAGGGTTTAGGGTTTCGGAAACGGCTAGAATGAGAAGCCCAAGCAACATAACCTAGACCCTCCGAATAATGAAGGAATGTACGGTTGTAGTAGGATCCCTGATACGATTTAAGGTATATTCCGTAATCAGTGGATTTTGGGATGGTCTGGGAACCTCATGAATCATTAGAGCTACGACCCCCGCAGGGCTTCCTGAATTTAATTTATACGACTCCAGTCTAGAAGCCAGAAAAAGGGGTCATGCGATTCCTCAGAGTGCTTCATGGTATGTATAATAATACAGTATACTCCCAAACTCAGTTTCTCATAACCTTAAACCCTCAACGCTACAAGGTTAAGGCTCTATCATAAGCCGAAAGTTCAGGAAGGCGCTGCCGTCGTCCGAGAAGCCATCGACTATGTGACAAGCTTGGCGTCTTATCCGGATGGGGATTCAGGCCTAAGGGTTTGCGGTTTCTAGGATTTAGGCTTTGGGGTTGAGGGTTCAGGGAGTAGGATCAGAGGTTCACGCCTTCGGCAGCCCGGTAGTAGCGAATTCAGGAAGTGTCTGGGGTTGCAGGGCTGTGAGGCACTTCTTTGTTGCTGCAGCTACAGGCTTGAACTTGCATTCCGGGATCCCAGGAGGCCATCCAGGCAAGATTGCTCAAGCGACGGAGTTCCGAGCTTTACAGGAATCGCCACACCTTCGCAGGAAACACTTCCACCAAATTTCTGTATCCCTTGAACCCCAACTCTTGTTTTCATGGCAGCCAAGGAAACCTTGGGGGGTGTTGGGACGGCTTCGCAACCAGGCACTGGGCGTTCATGATGCCGGGTCTAAGACCTGGGGGTGGAGGTTGTTTGGACCGTGCAAGGTACAGGGTTCAGGATGCACTTCCAGCTTGAAAGAAGCAGAAGCTTCAGGGGAATTCAGTCGGTCCCAACAGCAGAGGAACCTTTAGCGATATAACCACTGTAGAGCCCGTATGGCACGTGATTCACCCCCATAGTAGGCCTTGAAGTCACCCTTGGAGTAATCCTGACGCCGTAAACCCTGGGAAATATGAAGAGATAGTCAAGGCCAGCCTAAACCCTCAACCCTAAACCCTGAAGAGGAGAGGAACTATGAAGAGATATTCAAGGTTAGAGCATCACGAAACTCCACATCTCGCCGTTTCCCTCCACGTTCGAGTTTAGGGCTTGGGGGCTGCGTCATGTACCATAGAATCCTGTGGACTTACCAAGACTCTTCCTTGGATTTGGCTTTTGTGAGAAAAAGGTACCCAAAAGCCCTGCTCCAAGTATAAAGGGCACTAAATCTGGCGTGGAAAAACCTTCTGAGGCCTGCGCTCTTATAGTATCGTATAGCATAGTATAGTATACCGGGGGAAATCATAAGGAATAGGTATCCATAAGGAACCGCGAGCTCTGTTTAAGACCATTCTTACGAAGGCCTGGCGATGGCCGGTGAAGATCACGTCCATGATATTGGCGACCCGGCTTTTTTGGGGGTCTGAATAATTACCTATTCTTTTTTATGGGTTCCTGATTATTATATCTATAGTATAATGGACCCCAGAACCCCCATAAGATACCAGGGCTCCAGGTGTGCGGTGGGGCCTTTGCACCCTGTGGTTGATTGTCATGTGGGAGTTTCTGGAAATAGGCTAAATTGTAGGATCCTAATTATAAAGACCCAAAATAAGGTGCCCCTATATGATGCCACATATAATGTCATCGAAAGGAACATATCAGATAAGACCATATACCACCTTTCAGGTCATGTAGTATACTTAAAGGATCATGGGACTTAGTAACTAGGGTTATAATTAGAGTAACTATACTTATAACTACTTATAACCCCAGTTAAGTTACTTATAACCTTACTTACTAAGTCCCATGATCCTCATCATAGAACCCCTATAGATCCCTTTAAGGAACCCCATTATAGAAACCTATATAGTACCCTTATTAAAAGGAGCCCTAAACCTTACTTACTAAGTCCCATGATCCTTTAAGTAGATCCCTTCAAAGGGACCCTTTAAGGAACCCCATTATAGAAACCTATATGGGAGTTTCCGAAAATAGGGGACCCCAATATAGTACCCTAAATAGTAGCATCCTTATTACAAAGACCCGACAGAAGGTACCCCTAATTTTTGGAGACTCCTATATAGTACCCTTATTAAAAGGAGCACTACCGGTAAGGCTTCGGGCCGAGGATTTGCGGGCGTTTTGGGGGCCTTAGCTCTGGGGCCGGCAAAGAGAGGAGATCGGCAAGGATTTTGGGTTTATCTTTAGGGTTTAGGGTTTAGGGGTTTAGGGGTTTAGGGTTTAGGGTTGAGGGTTGAGGGTTTAGGGTTTAGGGGTTTAGGGTTTAGGGGTTTAAGGTTTAGGGTTTAGGCTCCCAGGCTCTCAGGGTGCAAAGTTTAGGGTTTTTTGTAAGGCTGCCATGCGCTCCCGAGGGTACATTGCAGTAAGCGGAGTAATTCTGGTTGGCGCGTCGGCGCAGCTACTAGGTGCGATTCAGAGGCGGGGTATGGTTGGAGGAGCTTGTTCATTCCTAAGAAGTCCGTCGTAAAATACCTGAACTGAGGCTGAGGGGGGGTCGTGTAGTCCAGGTAGTGATGATAGATGGGCACAGGCTCAGGGTTTTGGGGTTCAAGGTTCAGGTTTTAGGGTTTAGCGTCTACATAGGGTGGGCTGAGGCTCAAGTCTCCAGTTCACCAACTCTCCGATCTCCCTCTTGGCAGAGCTATGAAAGACAGCATTACCTAGACCCTAGACAACACATGGGAGTTTTGATATTCTTGTCATATTATATGTTATCTTATGGATTTATGTATGACATTATCTCGTACATGCTGAAATAGCTGGTGCACAAGGTTGCAAGGGGTGCTGCCGAGCAACACCGAGGCCAGACAGGAACGGCCTCGCACACCTCCTCCGATGGCACGAACGCTGCAGCCGGGCAAATGTGCTGGAGGGTGACAATAGAAGTTTGCTCCCGAAGCCCTAAGCATCCTAAGCGCTAAACCAAAAACCAAAAAAACCCGAAGCCTTAAACCCCCAAACCCTAAACCCCAACATAACCGTACGGAGGAGCGCTTGCGACAGATCGAGAAGCAGCGAGCGCGGTGTTCAGGGCTTCAGGGCTTATCCTATCAGGATTTCCTGTGTCATTATCGTTTTTTTTCTCATTGCTGTTGCTGTATACACAGGTGTCGTCGGAGGGCTTTAGTGGTAAACTGTTAGACTACAAGGTAGCAATCTCTCTGTTAGAGGAGAACTCCGGAGCCAATGGCGGCCCCGAGCCCCAATATAGGCGCCTTCATGCTTAGATGGGTTATCGATTATTCAGGCCCATACAGTATACCCTGAAATTTACGCTCAACATCCATTATGCCTCCAACCCTAAACCCTGATAAGCTCGTGACCCTAAGCACTGCAACACCTGCAACCCAAATCCACAAGCCTCGACCCTCAACCGAGAACTGGCCTTTCAAGAAATCCCAAATGCCCCCGCTAGTCCCAAAAATGCCCAGCTCAACATGTCCCTTCTAACAGTTCCGAGATGCCTTTCGAGAAATCCTTCTTGGCCCGTAGAAAGAAATCCCGAAGACCTTAAAGTAGAATCCCATCAGCCCTGAACCCTGAACCCGAAACCCTCCAGTTTAAGCAAAGCACCAAAACTCCAAAACCTAAACCCTAGAACCCTAAACCCTAAACGCTAAAACCTTGACTCCTAAACCCAAAGGCCCTAACCCCTAAACCCTAAAGCCTCCACCTTAAACCCCTAAACCCTAAAGCTGCGAGCAGTTGGGTCTCTTCTGCCCAGGCAGACCGTGCCCGCCGCTACGGAAACTTCGAACTCTTCGGGGAGTGTTTTGACTGACGTCCAAGAGAGGCTGAAGCAATTTCTGAGTAAACCATCTGAGACATTTACAACCCATGTGTTTGTATATATATATATATATATATATATGTATGTATGATTATATATATATACACATATACATATATATATATATATACATATATATATATATATAGAGACATTTATGGACGAATGAGGGTGCATGTATTATGTAATGCATGCATGGACGCGGTTGGGTCTTTCTAGCTTATGTTTGTGTGTTTGCTTGTGATGAGCATCGGGTTTCGTCGTTCCGTTACGGGCTTGATGTAGTTTACTGCAGAGTTGGGCCGGAAAGCACAAGCTCGAAATCCTAAACCCCAAACCCTAAGCCATTCACCCGAGGTGTCTATGGTACGGGTCGGATCGTGCCGACGCCCGCTGCGTGGTCTTGGACCCGAGGGGGTCTGAAAGGGTTTGGGGGTCACAGCTGAGACGGACGCGGGTCTATTGAGAGGTATGCGTCGGGAAGGCCAGCAATACACCACGGAGCCCAGAAAGAAGACAAACCCCGAAAACGTTGATGAAACCCAGCCTTTTTTCCAAGTTTTGCTAAATGCTGCATCGCACTCTACGGGCTTAGTCAAGCTGCTTCGAAGCCTTATCCCTCCGTTTCAGTATGAGCTCACATGATCATCGACGAAGCTAATGGTCAAGTCATGTCAAGTCCATCTCGTTTTGCTTCTTTTCGCACACCCTCGACCAGGACCTCATCATCGACGATGGCGTGCCAAGCCGAGGCATGCGTGAGGGTTTATGGCATGATCTTGCTTGTTGCGGTTGAAAATCTGAGGTACAGGGTGCTGGGACGCATATTCAACTTCACCTTTGCCCGGGGTCCGAAGCCCGAACAAACTTCTGCGGTTCAGGGGAATATTGAATCTTATATATAGTAACACTATGTATTAATTTATGATAGTTCGTGGCTTAGAAAGCGGAGCGCCTCAGATCAGCACCGCAGGGGTCAGACCTCTCTGCGGTTCTGGGGGTTAGGGTCTGGGATTCAGGGTCAAAGAGATTCAGGATCCACACCCCCACATTAGCCCGCAGCACGAAACAGGTCACATGCCCCGCGAGTGCCCGTAAGGAAGCGCAGCTCAAAATGGGTCAAGCCTTCCATGGGCCACGAATGTTCGGCTTAGGTTGAGGGATCATGGCTGGGTGATCCGTGTCGCGACATGGGCCTAGATGAGGAACTCAAATAGCCAAGTGCCTAAGCCAAACCCCAATAGGATGGAAGTGATTACTGTTAATGCCGAGAAAGCCCGATGTAGGTCATCGACTCGGCGTTCTCGACCCGCGCTACGACACAGCACCTGGGAATGGTTTTGGAGTTTCGGGCACGAATTGAACGTTCGGGCGTTAATGTGTGGGAGCCGCGCTGGGGCTTGAGATTTTAAGTTTTGGGCTCACGCTTGGGGTTTGAGAGCGTGGGCTAGGCCATAGCCTTTCAGGGGCACCCACATACCTTGAAGGGCAGCGTCCATAATGATCCACCACAGCATGGGGAGAAGGAGAGACAGCTTGCAACCTTGTTTTTCCGCTAGATTTCACGTTTTAATATCCCGATGCTCCTACAGCTCTTGTCACCCCCCCCCCCCCCGTGAAGGCTTGCCCTGCTCTCAGTCCGCTCGGTTCTGACAGAGCAAAGCATTCCAAAACTCCACGAATCCGGAGCTTTAATGGCAGTCAAGACTGAAGCTAGCCTGGTCTTCATGAACAGCACTTCAGGGCAACAAGCATCTGCATGCCACTCACAAGTACTTCATCATGTCATTCTCATCACCAAAGATGTAAACACTGCAATGATTCACTGAATCCAGAGATCGCGCTAACAGTTAACCTAGGCTCTGCCACTCTGCAAGCCATCAGTCACTTAGTAGTAGAGTGGTTAAGCTTCAGCCCCGTTGGGGTAGCACCATCCCTACATAATACCCAAGGTCAAGCTTTAGGTTTCCCTAGGATACTGGGCAACTAAGATCATCTCCCCTGCCATGCCATAGGTGGGCGTATCATATGGGTCGCACTGCATCTCGACCTGTGATATGCTCGGGAATGCGGTTTAGGGTTTAGGGCTTTTGGGTTTAGGGTTTAGGGTTTAGGGCTGCTTACCGGTTTCTTCGAGTCTACGGTGGGAGTACAGTGCGAAGGTTCAAGTTCTCAGGGCGGGCTATGGATGCACCAGCTACGATTTCGGAATTCAGGAAGGCTCTGCCTAAACCCTACACCCCTTAACCCTAAACCCTACGAGTTCGTGGCTCTTGGGCCTAGGACGAGCGGCTCCATTAATCTGATCTGCTTTTCGGGCATGTCTTTCCATTCTAGGCACCAGCACCGAAGACTAAACCCTAAGAGTCAACCCGTTTTTCGCACGGTGGTTAGGTTTCGTGGTCACTGGAGGGCAGGGTTCAAGATGTTCAGTTCGGGCGGTGAACGGGGATTGCGGTCTGAGACTGCGACATGGGTGGTTGTCAAAGTTGTGGTTCCTTTTTGGGTCCCTAATGCAGTACGCACCTAACATTTGGGGTTCCCCAAAAGGGACCATAATAATTTTGACAACCACCCACATAGGAAGGCGTCCTTCTCAATACAGGCTTTCCAGAGCTCGAGAGAAAGGGTGCCCGGGTTCTGCTCGGCGTTTCCAAAGATTTTCGGGGCTGTTCGATGTCTTGGGGTTGCTGGGTGGGGCTTGAGTTTCGGAGCCACTTTTTTCGAAATGTGGTTGCATGTGTTTGGGATGGTAAGCGGGGCGGCATCGACCGGCTTCGCAAACACTGTCCAAAAGCAAGTGCTGAATGCCAGGGTTTACAGGATCGGACGTATAGAGGTCAAGCCCCTCAGAGAGGATTAGTGTTTTGGGATTGAGGCTTCAGGCATTCCCATCTTCCGGGTTTGGCGATGGAGTTCAGGTCTTAAGCGCTGGGGTTGGGGGCTTACAGTTTAGGGTGGTTTCGGCTTTAGGGCATTCGGCTTGACTCAAAGTCCTAAGTTTTAGACCCGAAGCTCTAACTTGAAAAAACCCAAAGACTTAACCCCCAGCCGAAATCCCGAGTCTCAGCCCTAAGCCGTAAAACCCTTAAATCCCAAACCGAAACCTTAACCTAACCCCAAGTCCCAATAAGACGTTTCGGGCGTCGATCGGAGGCACATTCGGCCGTTTGGCCGCTCTGGAGTTCGCCCGCGGCTGGGAGCCGGATGAGCTAGCCATGAGCTTCTCGGCAGGTCTTTTACAGCAAGAGCTCAGGAGGGGTATCATAGCAAGGGTTCAAGCTTGTAAGCTTGCTTCTGTAAGTCTTACTGGAAGTGTTTCAATTATGAAGAGGGTTCTGGTGAAATCGGACTATGCGTTTTGGGTTTAGGCCCAAGGGTTTAGAGTGTAAGTGTTCGCAACTGGTACCATACTAAGGGTTCTGTAAGGGTCATATGGCAAGGGTTCGGTAAAGGGGTTCTGATTCTGGTGTCATCCATGTCTGCATGTTTGATTTTATGCAGCCTGCGCGGTACACAAAACACCCTGAACCTAAAAAGCACCATCCAAACCCTAAGCCCTAATCCTTAAACCCTAAACCCTGAAACCCGAAATCTTAAGCCCGAAACCCTTAAAAAAAGCCCTTAAACACCAAACCAAACCCTTAAGCATTAACCCCTCAAACCCTAAACCCTTATCCCCTAAACCCTCAAAACACCAAGAAGAGACCGAGAAGGCGGTCACCGGAGGGGCTCTGGCCAGAGACGCATTATAGAACCCTTATAGATACCCTTAAGGAACCCTGTAGATCCCTTTACAGGGTTTAGGGTTTAGGGTTTAGGGTTTAGGGTTTATGGTTTAGGGTTTAGGGTTTAGGGTTTAGGGACCCCTTACTTACTTCCCATGGATCCTCCAAGTAGAGACCCAGGGCTCCTGCCTCCGAGGCGATCGGCGGAAAGCCGGGCCTCATCGAATCAGCCCGGAGGTGGGGGGCCTTTTGAGGGCTTTTAGGGGTTTGGGGTTTAGGGAATTAGGGACTTTTTTTTGGTTTGGGGTTCTGGGGCTTTTTAAGGGTTAAGGGGTTTAGGGGTTTAGGGTTTTAGGGTTTTAGGGTTCAGGGGTTGCAAGAACAAGGCTTGAGTGCTTCTGTTCGTTTCGTGCTTGGTAGGACCAAGCGTTTTTGGAAGGCTTAGCACTTTAGGATTACAGGCTTGAACGGTGCTGTGAGCGAGGTGTTGGATCTTCAGGGTTTAAACCTCGAAACCCTTAGACCCTACCCCCAAAAGCCCTAACCTAAGGACCTGAGCCCTAACTCCAGCCTAAAAGCTTATCCTGATCCCGTAAGGTTTGCTAGATGAGTTGCCAGGAGGGATCTTATTGGGTTTTACTGTGGCGCCGCTGGGGGCCTAAATTATTGGTAATAAGTGAAAGCTTGAAAGAGCCTGGGTTGAGCTTTGAGGGTTTCGAGGTTCGTCAAGGGCTTTCTGAGCGTTTCAGGGATTCACGGGCTCTTAAGGGCAACAGAGGAGCCTGACGACTTTTGCCTTCTCTTTCCTCTACTGTCAGGGGGTCCGTTCAGGGTATGTCGGCAGCTGTTGGGGTTCAGTGTTGGGCTGTTGTCTGGCTACTGGAACTGTGCTGCTTTGTCACCCGTCAGGGTGTTAAGAAATTGGCATCGTGGCTCTGGGAAGGCTTAAATCGGAAACCTTAAACTTTTGCAACAACGCAGGTGTGTGTTTTCATGACAGTTCCCTGGATGTTCCTGCGGTCTCAAAGCTTCGCTGAAGCCCGAGTCTGCAAGCCTTTCACCCTAAACCTTATATAAAAACTATAGGGTTTAGGGTTCAGGGTTTAGGGTAAACCCTGAGCTCCAAAGCCCCGCATATCCCCGAGGTCATGGCAGCTGCGAAGGCGAAGGCAAGGTCTTCTTTGTACATCATGCGCTGGCCTTGAAATGAAGCTCTTTTCCTGATACCTGCGGTGTTTGCTGTGCAACCTGTCTTGGTGCACCGACGATACCCAGGTGCATCGATGCTAGAGGTGTTACTGATGCCGTTGCTCTTTTCTCTTCTGAAGACTGATGTTGTTTTTGTGTCACTTGTGATGCGATTGAGACGACTGCTGCGATCGTGGTGGTTACTGCTATCACACGCATCACCACTCAAGGGTCCCTGCGATGTACGAACATCAGTCGTCTTTGTCAAGCACATCTACATCGGAACACTGATTGAAGTTATGACGACATGTCATATGGCTCTTGCCGCATGGATGAAGAACCGGAGTATGGCAATATTGGGTTTCGGATGTGGAGTAGGGGCGCATGGCTTTGGATTCAAGACTAGGTAGCTTCAGGTAGCGGCTAACAGCCAAGTGGTAAACCCCTTCAACCCTTCCCTAAGGCTTCCACACCGGCTTGAAGCTCAGCGCAAGATCCAGGGAGTCACATAGGTGCGGTGAGTGGGAAGAGGATTTTCAGATTGGGTCTCCACACCGCTTTCGGAAACCTTCGACCCTAAATCCGAGACATGACATAAGCCCTAGACCCTGAACCCTTAAATCCAACATCCCGAAGCTTAAATCCTAAACCCGAAGCCCCAAACCCAAAACCCAAAGCCCTAAAGCCTTAAGCAGCAAAATCAGGCGGAGACTGCCTGGAGCCTGGGGCTGCTTGGCTTTGAATCTTATCCTCCTTGCGCTTGATGAGCTTGCTTAGGGCTTAGGGCTTAGGGTTTAGGGCTTCGGGTTTAAGGTTTAGGTTTAGGGTGTAAAGCTTAGGGTTTAGGGTCTAGGGTTTCAGAACGGGACGCCGTGCACCCTAGGATTGGGTGTAGGGCTTAGGGCTTAGGGTTTAGGGTTTGCTGCAGTCTCGTGCTCGTAGTATTGAAGGGAAGAGTGCTCATATGATCATTAGAACGTTTATATTCCTGGGCTCCAGTCCTCAATAGCTGAACTTCCAGTCTCGGAACATCGTGATGTAGCAGCAACGACAGTACTTCTAGTATGACCACAGTCATTGTTTGTGGCTGAGGTTGCGGGGCTGCCAGAATGTGTTATGCTTGGTCGTCACAACGACATATATGCAGCTGGAGGCATGTCGGCCAACATAGACACATGAAATCCCGACATAGAACTAAGAAATGCATGCAATTTCGTACACGAGCACGCCACTGCTCCACCATCTCTGCCGCACCGAGGAGCTGCCCTGTCTGCGGGGAGCCGATCAAGGGCGGCAAGGTGGGATTCGCTGGGGAAGTACCTGTGAGGGCTGTGCTGTGGAGGGCCGACCTCGCGAAGCCAGAATTGCTTGTGTTTTGCGGGCCTTAAAATGGGGTCGCCCGACAGCCCCATAACTGTGCAGCTTTGAGATCGTACAAAGACAGGGAATTTTTGCCAGAGGTGACTCTAGCATTTCTGAACAGAGCAGATCAAGCCATGCAGAGTTATGGTATCGAGAAGGTCATACAAGAGCGGCGGAATTTTCTGGAAGGTATCTCCACCAGATCTGAACAGGACTTCTTGAGCTGTGTAGAGTTATGGTATCGAGAGGTGTGGCTGACGGTTCGGAATTTGTGCACGGTGCTTAACTCCAAAACCCCTCATGCACGACATGGGCTCACCTGGCTCTCGCCAGATTTTTTTTGCTCTTTTAGCAGAGACCCATTTGCAACATTCTTTGCCTCTGCCTTGCTTCTGATTGCATTTGCTGTTGCTAGACCAGTGGTTGCGTTCCCTCAAAAAACCGAACTGCACTTTTCGCTGTTCTCGGAGATTGCACCTCTGCTTCAATTTCCATCGTCAAATCGGGTCTTTTTTGCTTCATGGTTGCGTGTGTCTTTGCGCAGGATGGTTGCATCCGCTGTCACAAACCGACAAAAAAAAGATCGCTCGCAGCAGGCGCTCCAACCGACTTTGTTGCTCAGCAAATCCACATCTCTGCGCAACACAGACCCGTGCCGCTGCCGCTCCCGCAACACAGGTTTTTCGGTCTGCCTCAAATGGAAGAACTGCTTTTGAATCAGGTTAGTGACCGCACTCGTTTTGTCTCGTTTCGTTTTGCTTCGAATGTTTTTAGCTCAAGAAAAAGATCGAGTGCTGCGCACTCTGTTTTTCTTGTTAGTGGACTTCTGAGAGCTGTGAAGCGCCACGGCCTCGCCTGTGCAAGGTTGGAGTTGAGAGTTCTCCCAGAAGGTACCTGTGCCTGAGAAAGCATCGACATTGACCTGTTTGGACCAGATCCTGTTTGTCCCATGAGTCCGCCTGCAGCTCAAAGGTGGAAGTGTTCTGGCTGCTGTGTCTGGAACGTGTTCGGCCACCAGTGCCGCCGACGTCCACTTTCGGTGCGGACCAACTGCAGCACACGCGGCTCCAAATGTGGGGTCGAACAAGCTTAGCAATTTTGGCTTCGCTTGAGTGGCCCCCCTCTGTTCTCTCATGTCCATCACTTCCACAGGCAAGCTGTCTGTTGGAAATTCTTGTTGGAGAACGATTTTTCCACACTGGATGCCTGCCTGTGGGCGAGTCGCCTTGATGTAGCAGTGTGGAACGCACGGGCTTGGGCTTGGGCCCCAAAATGAGGAATTCGCGACCCCAAAATAGGGGCCGCCAAGCGGCCCCGATTTTGGGGTCCTCTGGTTGCCAGTCAAAATATGTTGAAGGAGGTTGACTGGATTTCGCGGCTCCTTTTCTGGGGCCGCGAGACGGCCCCATTTTTGGGGTCGCAAGTTTGATTCCTGCACCCACAGCGGCTGAATCTCGTCAGCTGCGCATGTCATTGATTGTATTGACTTTGGGGAGCGTCTGGTGGAGGACCGTTTGGAAGGTCGGAACTTGTCCACAGCAGCTGTGTTGCTCGCCCTTAATAGTGCTGCAGCCAGCGGAATGCAACTGTGGAGGGCCGACCTCGCGAAGCCAGAATTGCTTGTGTTTTGCGGGCCTTAAAATGGGGTCGCCCGACAGCCCCATAACTGTGCAGCTTTGAGATCGTACAAAGACAGAGGAATTTTTGCCAGAGGTGACTCTAGCATTTCTGAACAGAGCAGATCAAGCCATGCAGAGTTATGGTATCGAGAAGGTGGGCCGGAACAGATCATACAAGAGCGGCGGAATTTTCTGGAAGGTATCTCCACCAGATCTGAACAGGACTTCTTGAGCTGTGTAGAGTTATGGTATCGAGAGGTGTGGCTGACGGTTCGGAATTTGTGCACGGTGCTTAACTCCAAAACCCCTCATGCACGACATGGGCTCACCTGGCTCTCGCCAGATTTTTTTTGCTCTTTTAGCAGAGACCCATTTGCAACATTCTTTGCCTCTGCCTTGCTTCTGATTGCATTTGCTGTTGCTAGACCAGTGGTTGCGTTCCCTCAAAAAACCGAACTGCACTTTTCGCTGTTCTCGGAGATTGCACCTCTGCTTCAACCATCGTCAAATCGGGTCTTTTTTGCTTCATGGTTGCGTGTGTCTTTGCGCAGGATGGTTGCATCCGCTGTCACAAACCGACCAAAAAAAGATCGCTCGCAGCAGGCGCTCCAACCGACTTTGTTGCTCAGCAAATCCACATCTCTGCGCAACACAGACCCGTGCCGCTGCCGCTCCCGCAACACAGGTTTTTCGGTCTGCCTCAAATGGAAGAACTGCTTTTGAATCAGGTTAGTGACCGCACTCGTTTTGTCTCGTTTCGTTTTGCTTCGAATGTTTTTAACTCAAGAAAAAGATCGAGTGCTGCGCACTCTGTTTTTCTTGTTAGTGGACTTCTGAGAGCTGTGAAGCGCCACGGCCTCGCCTGTGCAAGGTTGGAGTTGAGAGTTCTCCCAGAAGGTACCTGTGCCTGAGAAAGCATCGACATTGACCTGTTTGGACCAGATCCTGTTTGTCCCATGCTCAAAGGTGGAAGTGTTCTGGCTGCTGTGTCTGGAACGTGTTCGGCCACCAGTGCCGCCAACGTCCACTTCCGGTGCGGACCAACTGCAGCACACGCGGCTCCAAATGTGGGGTCGAACAAGCTTAGCAATTTTGGCTTCGCTTGAGTGGCCCCCCTCTGTGCTTTTCGCGGAAAGCCTCAAATCTAAATACTTGTGTCGGTAAGCTTCGGTCGTAGACGAGGGTTTCAGGGCCCTTAGCATTCAACTATTCAGCCCTGCGCTCCAGCCCCAAAGGCTTCCTCTGCTTGCTCCGCAGGTTACGGAACTTGCCGAGATGGGTAAGCTGCACGCAGCTTGCGGCCCGGCTGGAAATCATGGGGTTTCTGCCCAGGTTCGGAGGCTTAGGGTTAGGGTTTCAATGCTCTCAGACCTTGTGTTTGTTTCTCCTGCGTGATCTGTTGCTCTCAGTTTCTGAAAGTGGTGGGACGATTCGGGTTTGGTGCAAGCCACAGGGCCCGCTTGTTACGATGCTGCACATGGTTCTTCCAAGAATCCTGACAGTAAACACTGGAGTCATCATTCCCAAAGGCCTATATCCTCAAATCCCAAAACTTGAGAGCAAGGCAACTTCTCAAGGCCCAAACCAACCCCCTCAACTTGACGCCTGAAGTCCTCGACAAGAGGTCTTCCGTGTCTCCTTGCCGCAATTCTGTCTCAGAGCTTTCCCCCCTGACACGTTTGTGGGGTCTTTTGGATGGATGAGTGGGGCTGCCTTAATGCATAAACCTTCATGCCTAAGCCTTAAGCCGCTACGCCTTCGCTCACCAGCGAGGCTTCAAGTGCAGCAACGCCGGCTGCGGCTGTGCCCTTGCCGGGGTGCCCTACAAGGCGCCAGAGTTCGAGCTAGAACTTAAGACCTTCCATCGCAAATTCTTCGGAAACTAAACACGGATCCTTTAGGCAGAGCTTCAGGCTTCGGGTCCGAGACATCCGCTGGGGGCGTCAGGGTTGTGAAGGTGTGGAGCGGCGGCTGTGAGGCTGCGCCTGCCAAGAGCTGTGGGATACACTCAGTACGCTGACCTCTTTACACATGGAGCCTTCCTTTCCAAAAGCTAGGATGGGGATTAGACTTTCGGAGCTTGGGGCTGCGATCTCTGAGCTTAGCCGGGAATTCTTTGCCATCTCTGTTGTGAAGCTGACAGTTCCGGGATACACCACTGCCAAAGTCAACGAATAGATCTAGGGCCTAGGGCTTGAGCTGAAGGCCTGTGTTTTCTTTGCCGTCCTTCCGTTCTTGAGCGCAGGCGTGCTATCTCAAGTTTCAAGCGCATACGGGGTTTCCCAACCACCAGTCCGCGCCCGCTGTTTGTCGTTTCTGGCAACACACGCAAGTTATGAGCTGCAGCCCCGGTTGCAGACGACCGGGCAGGTTCAAGACAAGGCGCTCTACTGCAAGACCTGCTTCTACGAGAAGTTTGGTGAGAAATGCAAGGTGCAGCCTTATCCACGGTCGGGGGTTGATGCCAGGTTTAGGGTTTAGGGGGTTTAGGGGTTTAGGGGTTTAGGGGTTCAGGGCTTAGGGGTTCCGAGGTTAGGGTTAGGCTCAATACTCCAAGTCTTCGAACAGCTGAGGTCTGTGGCCTCATCCGGGCTAGGAGCAAATATGTTTGTACCCAATTTCATCGTGTCTCCCCAATCGATCCCCAGTGCGGAGCTACAAGCCCATGACTACAACACATGGGTTAAGGGATTACTTGGAGGATCATGGGACTTAGAAAGTAAGGTGATAAGTAGTTATAAGTTTAGTTGCCCTAATTATAACCCTAGTTACTAAGTCCCAGGATCCTTTAAGTAGGGACTCCCAGTCGGGGTTTTAGCTTAAGGCATCAGGGTTTGGGGTCTCGGGCTCAGGCTTTAGGAAACGCAATGCAGGGAGGCTTTGGACCCCCCGGGCACCCCGCCGGCATGTGTGAGGCCTGTGGCAAAGTCATCATGGGCACCATGGTGTCTTGCCCCTCGGCCGAGCCGTGAAGCTTCGGGTTGGGTTTCGTCTTGATTTCGGCAGGTGGGGACGTGATGCGGTTTAGTTCCTCCAATAAGTCGCTTAAGGCGCGTCGATTTCGGAGTTGGGCTCTTGTCCAAGTCGCTTCAGATCCTGTGTTTAAAGTTTGTGCCCTGCAGCTTATCCTCACTTCGAGCTTCTGGAGAGTGGTAGGTTTAAGATTATGAGCTCCGAAATTCCTAGAACCGGCCTCCCTAGCCATTTTGACATGACATAGTATGACAACTGGTGTAAGACAGGATAAGGTATTTAGTTTAATATGATATGGTATTAAAGCCTGCCGCCTTGCTCTGCCACAAGGCTGAGCCCTCGAGCCCACACAGCCATTGCCTTTTCAGAGTGCCGATCAGGTTTCACGATAAGTGCCTTATGGAACCGTTAGGGAAGCCCTGAAAGGAGCGCTTCAAGGAGCCCTTAGGGACACCTTCAAGGCACTTTTTTTTTTGAAGGCCCAAGCCCGAAACCTTAACACCGAAACCTTACACCAGGTTATGTTTCAAAGTATCAGGAGATCTCCCCTAAACCTTAAACCGTAACCCCGAAACAGTGAACCTCAAAACCCTAAACCCCTGAACCCTAAACTCCTAAATCCTAAACCCTAAATGACACCTTAGACCTCAATCCCTAAGCCCAAAGGTTCCCTTGGCAAGCTGCACTTGGAGTGTCTGATCTGCAGCACCTGCCAGAAGTCCATCGGCAAGGCATGCGCCCCCACAGCTTACATCCTACTATTGGGTTTGCGGATTGCGGTATAGGGGTCGGACTAGTACTTCGCCGTTTTTTCCGCTGTCGTCCCTAAAGAAGCACAATCTAGGTATGTACCCGAAAGCCCTATTCTAATGAGCAAGGCTCCTCTGGTAGCCTCTAAACCCTAAGCCATTGAAGGCTCGAAGGAATATGAGCCACTAACGGCATAGAGATCATCGGCTTCCAGGACATGAAATGGAGCCGCATGGATTTAGGGTTAAGGGCTTAGGGTTTAGGGTTTAAGGATACATCGCATGATCATAGATGACGTTGCATGTACATCACCTGACGTGGCAGTTTAGCACTAGAGCTCACATGTGGTCGCATAGCATTGCTCATGTCGCCTTCCCGACGTGCAGGCATCCTTCTCGACCTCGGATGGCATCATCCGCTGTCAGGCGCGGGTTTGGGGTTTAGGGGATCCGTTCGGGTTTAGACAGAGACTCGGGGTTTGCTTGAGCATGGTTGAGGGGTCGGATTCACGTCTTCAGATTTATTCCTAGCTGCACTCAATATCTTCCTCACCCCACCTATCGACTACCCACCTACAAACCTCTACAAAAACCACGATCAAACCATCAATTAATGATTAAATCTCTACGCTTCTGCAGATTCCTAGATAAGACTTGACGGTGCAACACCCTCTGTTGAATATCAAGATCCCAAAAGTTGCAACCTGCGAGCAGGTCGCATCGACCCCCCCACCAGCCAGGCCATATGCGCTAAATCCGAAGCCCCGAGCCCCCTTCGCACCTGCTCAGCCGAAGTGAACCCTGAGCTCTTTCTTGGAGTCCGGATCTAGATGGTCCCTCAAGCCCCAAATCCAAAACCCCAAACCCTAATCCCTAATCCTGCAACTCACATACATGTGGCACTTAGTCCTCAACCTGCCATGTGAGGATCCGTAAGGCTCAGCAGAGTGTAGAAAAGTATTGCTCTTAGCAACCCTTATGGTAGCCCATATAGAAACCATATGTTAAACTCCATCGTAGCCCTCACTCATTTGGTCTTTTCTCTGGTAGCCATGTAGTAGCCCTTATAGAAACCTTTCAACAGCTCCTATGCAAACTTTTTCCTTGAAATGTACCCTTAAAGGAGCCCTCTGACCTTCTGCAAGGCCTGCGCCGCCGCCGCTGAGGCCGCTGCGTCTGCGGCCGCAGCGCCTGAGAAGCGGGGCAAGGGAGCCCTGGCAAGCGCAGGCAGCTGGGTAAAGGGTGCTCGGGGTTTGGGGTTTAGGCTTTAGAGGTTCAGGGTTTAGGGGTTTAGGGGTTTAGGGTTTAGGGTTTAGGGGTTTAGGGTTTAGGGATGTAGGGGTTTGGGGTTTAGGGTTTAGAGGTTCAGAGTTTAGAGGTTAGGGGTTGAGGGGTTTGAGGTGAGGGGTTTTGGGTTAAGAGGTTAAGCGTTCAGGGTATACGGGGAAAGGGTTTAGGGTATTGTATAAGGGGGAAGGCTTTAGGGGCCTTACGAGAAGTTCTAAGTGTTAATGGCTTCCTCACCTTGTGACCCTAAACCCTAAATCCTGAACCCTAAACCCTAAATCCCACGCTCTGAATCCCAAACCCTAAGCCCTAAGAAGCAGAAATTCTGTATCCAGAGGCTCGGCGATTGCAGGCCCCAAGGCGAAAGCCAAGACAAAGGCCAAGGCAACGCAGGGTCGGTTTAGGGTTGAGGGTTGGCTCGGAAAGGGTCCTCAATTTGAAGACTTCGAGGGGCATACTACAGCATGGCCATATAGCTCCCAGTATATGGGAGACCGTTACTACGGTTGATGATATAAATCCTGCATTTCCCATAACAAGGAATAGACCAGAATTACCATAGTTTAGGGTCCTTAAGGCAATGCAGGATTTATATGAACAGTAAGACTTCAAGCCCCTACATCGGCTGTTGCCGGGTTTGAGTGCCAAGACTTGGGATGTCTCCAGGAGAGGTTCAACCACTTCTACCAGATTCCCAGCCGCCACAGTGCGGGATTTAGGGTTTCGGAGTTTAAGGTTAGGACCTTAGGAGCAATGACCTCAGATCCTACTGTGATTCCTCGGAGCCCTTCGGTGATTGCACCTCGTGTGAGCAGAGGCGAAGCCAGCAGCGGCCAAAGTCTCCATGAGCAAGGCCGGATGAGCGTTACTCAGCAAGCCCCCAAAAAGAAGCCTAATAGCTAGGACCCGGAGTAGGCCCTTATTCCCTTTTTTAGGGTTCAGGTTCCCTTATGAGCCCCTATAAAACCAAAAAGGGCGCCCTTTTTATTCCTAGGTTACTCTTGGGTCTAGTGTAAGTTAGGGGTAGGCTGGCCTCAACTCATATTCCAGAACGCTTTTTCCTCACACGTTTTTCCCCTAGGGGGTACCCTATGATTTCAACATTTCCATAAATTTTTGCCCATTTTTGACATCATACCCTCGCACATTTCACCATTAAATTTTCAGAAATTTATGATAAAAAATTCATAAATTTTATCATAAATTTTATTACAAAAATTCATAAATTTTGTGATATTTTTTGTGATATTTTTTCGTGATATTTTTTGTTATATATTTTTATTTTCCATATCTTCAAGTTCTTTTAAAATTACATTGTTTTTATGTGTAATTGATTTCTCATGTTGTGCTTTTTTGTAATGCTTTACATCATAATTACAGAACGGACAACGATAAATTATTTTCATATATTCTTTTCTATATGAAACTAGATTTTCTTTATTGTCCTGATTGTATTGTTTTTTGCGTTCTGCGATTTGCTCCTTATGATTTTCCCTGTATTGTTTTTCTCTGGCTTTCACTTTTTCTCGGTTTTCATTGTTGTATCTTATTTGACGGTTCCTACAGTAATTACACATTCTATATTCGTCTGTAAAATAATCTATCTGTCTGGTTTTATTACAACTGTTACAAAATTTTGCGGACATACTATGGTATATACTATTATATGGTATTACCTCTTTAAGCATATACCATATAATACAAAATTATCAGAATTTTCATTAAACATATTTGTCGCCTTCCTTTACAACCTTATAATATTCCATAGTTTCCGGTTTAGGTTGTAAAATTGCTCCATCATTTAATTTCTTAATATAAGCGTTTCTTTTGTTTGCATATGTTCCTTCAGGATTTGTATTTGATTTATATTTAGGTTTTTCAGTTAATACTTCAAGTTTTTCTAACACTGTTTCCATATCACGGGTTAGTTCTAAAACCATATTGTAGATTTTTTCACTGAATTCTTCAAATTGTTCATTTACTGGCACTTCTACTTTTTCTTCAACCTTGCTTTTACCAACTGGCATATATACAATATTATATAAAAGTTTTTTTAAAACTATATATTTTTAAAACTTTTTAAAACTTTTCTTTATCGCTGGCGTTGCAGTTGCACCTCTTGCAATATGCTATGCAATTGCTTATGGTGTGTGTCTGATCGTTAAATTTCCGCTGTGCGGTTAAATTCGTCCTTATATTTCCACCTATTGATTTAACATAAAATTCTACACTACATTTTTCACAGCTCCCATTCAACCTTTCTAATAACCATTCAGGTGTAATATAATTCTTATGATCTATTTTTCTTTTTGCTTTTCTATCTTGTTCTTTATATCCTTCAACCTTTCTACATAAATAATTATATATGCATCTTTTATTAAATTCATTATCATCATTATCATATTTGAAGAATGATACATTATTTAAATCTGTCGCTCTCGTGATCGCACTGTATAACCAGTTTTTATCTACCAGACAATGGTTATAATCAAATATTGTTATACCTCCCTCAATGCTTGAACCTTGGACGCTGTGGCAGGTAAAACAATAATTGAATATAAAATGCTTCCTCAACATATCCAGCGGTAATTGTTGAATTATTTTAGTGTGCTCGTCTTCTAAAACTACCGCATTTTCAATTATGTTTAAAATCTTGTATTTAAAATTAACTTGAAATTTATAAGTTTTTGATTTTAAATACTCTCTACATATCATTATTTCTCCTACTTCATATTCGCCTTTTCTATTTTGCATTTTTCTAATTTCATTTGCAACTTCCCTACATGTATCATTTAAATATGCTACATTATTACTGTTTAAATTTATGTCAGATGTGTATTTAAAATATTTTTTCACTAAATCCCTCGCTTTAATATTATTTTCAAAAATGTCAATATAAATATTTTCTAATTTTTTCCTATCCTCTTCTTTCCTTAATCGTTTACAAACTTTCAGATAAATATTATATTTGAAAATTTTATCCACGCAATTATCGGCGTATTCTTCGTGCTCCTGTAAATTGGTTAGTTCTGATACTGGTTTTAATTGCTTACCGTCGCCGGTAGCTACTATTATTTTATCTTGATTTTGTTGTACAAATTCCCTAATTCTGTTTAACACCCTTAATCCATTAAAGTAAATCTCGTCAAACACTATGACATCATAACCTGAATAATCAAATTTTTCTAGCTTCTCGTCACCCACTGCTATAGAAAAGAATTTATTTACTGTGATTGCTTCCTTGCCGTATTTTTGAACAAGTTTATTAGTAGGACATACAAATAAAACTTTCATACCCATATCTGCCATTTTTTCACATATATAACTCTTTCCTGAACCTGCATATTTTGCCCTGATCATAACATGCTTAGTGTTTATAACATTTGCTATTATATTTTTGGTGTCATACTCGTCTTTGATTTCTATTGCTACATTTTTGTAGATAGGTATTTTATTTAATTCATTTGGTTTTGGTTTGTATTCTTCAGGTGGTAAAATTATATATTCACCTTCTTTGTTTGCCCTCCATTCTCCTATGCCGGTTTTCATTTCTAAAATTTCTCGCGCTTTATCAACATCCCGTTTTCTTATTACAAATGCGTCTGTTTTAACACTCATAACGGATACAAAATTTTTCACTAGTTTATTATAATCTTGAAACATTTTAAAATTATGATCTTGAAGCAACAGCTCTTTTATATAAATATATCCATTGTTTAACATTGCACTGTCCGATAAATTCACTAAATAATAATCCGTTCCACTTGGTTCATCATACATTTTTGAATAAATGTTTTCGTCTTCTTTATCTCCCGTGAACATTATATCGTGGTGACATTCTACCTCCTCTATCTTATGTATTTTGCCCCCGTGTTTTAATTGAAAATTTGACGCCTCCTTTAAGTTTTGAAAAACTGTGCTTTTTTGCGAGGTGTTTTCAGTTTTTTCTAAAAGCCCGATATTAACATTTACAATAAGTTTTTTAATGAGTTTGTCCAGTTCCTCGTGGTCACTAATGGATTTCCCCCATAATTCCTGAACTAACTCGTTATAGTTAACATCGTGTATGAATGAAGGCGTTTTATAATACAATATTTTTAGATCGTTTGCTTCAATCTGTTTTAAATATTTTCCATAAATTAAGTTGTATTTTTTATTAAACAAGTTGAGAAACACTGTAAAATTAGGCCTAGTTCTTTTACAATCTTCAACAAAGTATAACACATAATCTGACAATTTATTATAATCCATGTCATTAGTGTAAGGTCTCCAGATGTCAAATTGATTGAATACCGGTATTTTATTAATGTTAATTAATCTACTTGTATATGCTTTCGATATGTCTATTTCTGTAACATCTTTCGGTATGTATTCCCTAGGTTTTAAAAGTCCTGTTGGTGGTATAGTTTTTGCTTCTTTGTAAATCTTCAGGTCAATTTGATTATAAAATGACTTATGTAATGGATTAAACAAAGCTTTATTGAAATTAAACATTGCTTCGTTCATGTTGTTATATGTTTTTTCGTCGTCTACTGCTATGCATCCATCCGACGACCCCTTAATCAAATTTTGAGTTTTAATTATAAATGTGGTTTTCTTAAGTTTAAGCTTCAGTTCTGTAATAATTCCCGCTTGAAATTTTATTTGAGGTTCATATCTTGAGTTCAAGAGTTCAAAAAATATTCTGGTCAGGTTGTTATGTTCAGGAATTAAATAATATGTTATTGGTTCTTTTTCTTTACTGACCATTTTTAAAAGTTCATATGTATCATTGAACATTTTATATTCTGGTGGTTCTTCCTTTTCGTTCAAATGGTATTCGGTAGATGCTTTAACTATGTATTTTTGTTCTTCTAAATTTTGCTTCTGTTCAATGCTTTTAAGATCGTTATTCATTGTGTATATGTGGCTGTTTTTGACAATGGCATAAAACGGCTTAATTCTTCTTTTGTTATGTTCCGGTTCGTGTTTATATATCAGATTATTAAAGCTATCAAAAATTCTAGCTGGTATTTTAAACTCCTTAAATACCTTATCCATATCTTCAATGCTAGCACCTTTGCTATAAAAATCCTCCTTCCCTGTGATCTCTATAATTTTTTCTCGTGTTAATTGTTTTCTTTTGTTGCCGTCCATCAGGGTATCGTGGTAAAAGTCTATCAGTGCATTAAACCAACATTGATTATCTACATGTGTGTTATTTTCTATTGCTTGTTTTAGGTTTGTCAAATTGCTGTTTATGTGTGTATATATGTAACGATGATACATTGATGAGTGCAGTATTCCGTCGGTTAAGTTTTCCTTCATTATGTCAAATTTCTCACCGCTTTTGCTTATTTTTTCCACTTGTTGAATTTTGATAGCGTCAAAAAGGTTATCGTAATGTTTCATTAAATCCTTTACAAAATCATCAAAATCTTTGTCTTTTCTTAATATATCCATTAGTTCATCAAACTCTTTATCTACCTTATGTAATGCTTTAGTTTTAAAACCTTCTTCATCAATAAATCTAAAAATTACCTTTTTTACCCATTCTTTTTTGAACTCTTTTGTCTTGACAGTTGACTGTCTAATGTCAAACTTTTCTATGTAAAATTGTTCTCCAAATTTTTTAAACGCAGGTTTAATTGTGTTACTAGACTTCCTCGTGGTGTAGAGTTGAAAGTTTACTAAATATGTATCTTTACCTTTGTTTTCTGCTATTCTTTCGTTTAGTGGCTTTGACTTCTTTAGGTCTTTAATTGTTTCATTATATTTGTCCCTTGCTTTTTCTGCGGTTCTTTTATTGGCACTGGTAAGGTTTTTAATGAAATTTTCTGCGGTTGCTACATTTGCTATTTTTCTGTCCTTGTA